ACTAGGTTCTCTATATAATTTTTTGGAGGGTGGGGAGGAAGAGATTCTTTAATGATATAAAAATGGTCTAGAATCACATAGATATTCTCAGTTTAAAAAGAAAGAATACCTAGTCTAAAAAATAAAGATGAAAATAAAAATAAAAATAAAGAATAAACTTAAAAAATTTAAATGTTACCAAGAACACAATGATCACCAGCCACCCACTGAAAATAAGTAATTATTAGTCATCAATTGTATCTTAAATTGTGTTGTATTAGTGGCTAGAACTGAGATACTGCAGTTTCGTAAAGGATCCTTATGCAACAACTGGATTATATTTAGCCTCAAATGTGATTGATGTTCCCTTTGACAGTGAGCTTTTAAAAGATGTATACATTTTCTTATGGTTGTGCCTGAAGTTCTGGGAACACATGACAAATACGGTAATCAAGCAGAGCCACAAAAAGCCAGCTCAGGAAGAAGGAGGAAGTCATTATGTTCCTCCATTCTGGCCTTGCCATGCCTGAGAATAAATAGCAACTTCCTAAAGAGGTTTCTGAAAAGAACAGGAGGAAAGGCTATGAGTCAGGTGTTATGAAACCCAAGACCTTCCTGACTAGATAGGAGTTCATACAAGGTCAATGAAAAAGCCTAGAGGTTACCATAACATGTTTTAGAAGAAAATTCTAGTGATTGTCAATAAGCATGAATTGGTCCTAATTCGCTATTCCTCTAATATCATGAAAAATGGGAAGATCAGGTAAAATGTAACTTCTGTAAAAGCTTTTCATGTTCTCCTGTGACATCTTTGCCTATCTTTATATGTAATTCCTGTTATTGTCCATCACCCTTTGGCAATCAACTATCTGTTTTGCTTGTATTCATTTAGATGTTATCAGAGAAACAGAACTTCCTACATTGAGGCAAATCAAATACAGGAACTGTGATTGAGTAAATCATGTCTAACTGAGCAGAACGAAAAGTATAGGACAGTAGGGATAAACTGAGGTATTAGAAAATAAACAAAAACCTAGAATCCATCAGCAAAAAAAGGGGTCACATCTACGCTAGTTCCAAAGTCCATAATGTGTGTGGACTGCAGAAGAATCTAATTATATTACATCACAAAAGTGTCCATCTGGTTCAAGATAATATGAAAGAGAAAGTTGGAGGGACTTCATACCTATCTTCTGCCTCATAATGGCAATGAGGTGAGTGTATTTACAAGAACATGCAAACTTTGTAGAAGCTTTGTCTTACAAAATGACATTTTGAAGTAATAGAGTTAAATCATAATCATCTGTGGATTTTTTAAACCCTAATCTAGATTCATATAAGTAATAAGATATTGTAGAACTATGGATTCATTAACTCAATGTGGCTAAAGTCTACTTTAGATTGTGGTCTTCTCAGAGAGCTTTGAGAGGATTAACTGAATTTTTTTACCTATGGTTTTCAGACATTGGCTTGTTATGCAGTTTAAGACAGGCCCAATTGCATTCATCCTCATTCAGATTAAAATAAGCCAGAAGCCAAAGATTTTTACTTTAGGAACTACAGGCAAGAAGTTGTCTAAAACTGAACATCAGGAATTTGTCCATTATCGCTGCACTATAAAATGTGTAAAAGATCTTGGGAATCAGTGATTTTGCATTAGGAAGGATACATAACATTTGATGTTGGCGGTCAGAGTGGAGGTTTACAGAGAAGGCATCCTTTTATATTCCTCCCGTTAAGAGTTGGGTTCTCTATCTCTGTGATCACTTTTTTCTCAGATTACAGGTAGAAAAAAGACCACTTTTGATTTTTTGCCTCCACTAGAAGTTGACAGTTCTTCTCCTAGCTTGTGAAATGGCTGTTCTTGATTTCTGAAAATACAATGCGAAAACGCACAGGCTAGATAAATTCTAAGCAAGTATATGTCTATTCTTTCTTTGCTCTTGATTATAAATGTGATACCAGCTGCTTGACTTTCTGCTCTGAAATCTTCAGTGGTTGATTGTAACCTACAATTGTAAACCAAAGTTCTTTTGTTTATCCAACATCATAAATGAAGTCAGAAAGCAGCTATAGACTGTAGGTAACTGAAGGAAAGGGTTAAGTGTGCTAGTGTTTTATTAGTTACAACTGACCCTTTGGCTCCAACTGACCAGAAACCATAGATTCTTAGTACAAGATATCGCACAAATGAGTTTTGCAGAGTCCTTGATTTCCTCTGAAACTTCTTAAGCCAGGTCTTTGCTTTCTGCATCTTTTTCAGCATTTCTATCTTATAAATTTCCATAGCATCTCAGTAATCTCTAAGCACAAAATAATGTTTTGTATTCCAAATCTCAAAAATATTTCCATAGTTCTTCCAAAAAATATAAAAAAAAACATAATAAAACTAAACTAAACAAAAACACCAACATGTTACTTTTTTTCCTGTTGCTATCATGAAACAACCAACAAAAGCCAACTTAAGGAAGAAAGGGCTTCATTTTGTATGTTAAGTCCATCATGTAGGGGAGTCATGGCAGAAGCTCAGGGAAAGAACCTGGAAGTTAAAAAATGAAGTTAAGACCATGCTGCTTACAGATTAGGTCTTTATGACTTGCTCATCTGGCTTTCTTGTATAACCTATGACCACCTGTCCAGGGGTGGCTTCAACCACAATGTGATGGACACTTTCACATCAAATATTAACTAAGAAAATGTCACACAAACAGGCCCATGGTGTACTCTTTTGGAGTCAATGCCTCCATCTTTCTAAGTGACACTAGTCATGCCAAGGTGACAATAGCTAAAAAGCAAAATTGGTTAAATTTCCCCTTATAAAGCAGGTGACTGATAAGAGCAAGATTGAAGTTTCCTGACACTTTAGTATTTTAGACTTCATCCTATGTTTGCTTAGCCATACAACCTGAGGATCACACATATGATAGCCCTGAAATTCATTATCAATAGCAGAAAAATGAGACTGAGAATAGCTAACTTTCTGCTATAACAAGATTGCAGATACAGAAAAAAAATCCAACCAAACAAACATTCCTAGAACTGTCTATTATGTTTTTGAGAGATATTAATTCAGCTGTCACTTTTACATGTTTTTCCAACTCTCCTGATTGCTGTGTCTGCTATCTGCTGTATGTTTACTATGAAAGGGAAACTTGCCATTCTTCTGTTGTAAGCTGACTTGTAAGAAGACTTAGGAGACTTTCTCAGAATATTTTAACCTTGGTGTCATAAGCTGTCATCCTCATCCTGTAGCTCATGAGATGCCACCTCATCTCAGTCCTTTCCTAAGTTTCCTGGCACTACCTACTTTGCTTCATGTCTTTATCTATCAAAAAATTATCAAAATTATCTTGTTTTTTATATCTTTCCTTAATAACTATATTTCAACATTTTAACAATACCAATCTACTTCCTGACTTGTTTAGTTATGTATTCCTGGCTTGTATTCCAGCCATCTACTAAAGTTTGACAGTTTTAGCAAACTAATAACGTGTATAATTTTGCCTCATCATCAGTGGGGGCCCAGAGGATTTTCTAGGTATCTAGCCTTTCTCTTTGAGGTTTGTATCTGGACCAGAAACTTTACTTTCATATAACTTAGCAAAACATACATTTTTTCTATGATATAAGACTTTGTGAAGATGTTGGTGGTGAATTGAGAATATCTGTAGCAATGAATGAGAACCATACTGTATGCATTTTGCTAGAGCATAATTGCCTCCAGAGGCCTTATTGTACTGCTTATACATAGTACCTATTCCAGATTATCTGGTAACACAGCTCACTGTAACTACCGTGTGCTTTGTCAGCAGTGCATTTGCAGAGCATCCTCCAGTACAGTCTTTCTGAATGCCTTATGTCCATGACTGCCAATTCTCTGTGTACGTTTCTCTTCCTTTCTGTGTGTGCTTTGACTGAATTTGGGAATGAAAGCTTAGTTATTGGACATGCCCTTGTCAAATCGAGTTTAACTTGGAAACCGATTGCCTTTTAGAAAGACACATAGTATTGCACTGTGTTTCTCTTTTACTCTCCCTAAAGCAGATGAGGAGTTTTCTTCAAATCTATTTCAGCTCCAGCCATGTGTAGGCAGAGAAGCCATAGCATTCATTACATGGGTGCTGAGCCTAATGCAGGTCAACTGAAGGACAGAAAAGAAAAGCTACAAGAGGGAGCTACAGGGTCACCTTTAAGGAATTTTGTTTTTTAATTCCTAAATGCTGAATAGGTGGAGCCTGAATAGGAGCTAGAGAACCACCTGCCCAGCCCCGATCTTTTTCTATCTTTGAATAAGGAAGGTGCTGCTCAAAAGCAAATGTAGTTCAATAATGGGTCTATCATGTATTGCACATGAGCAAGTTACATAGAGTCAGAAAATGTAAAAAGAAAATAAAATATGATCCCTATATGCTCATAACATTTTTATGTTCTTTCTGTAGCAGCCTGAATCTGTAAGCACTCACTCCATGAAGGTGGGGTAAGAGATGGAGTGTGAACACTTGTTTGGGCTGGCTTACCAGGTGATTTGAAAGGCTCCTTAAGGATTTTGAATGTTGTCTTGAAGGGAACTGGTAGACACTGACAGGTTTTAGGCAGCAAATTACTTTGTCAAATTTACAATTTAAAAGCTACCTCTGGCTACAGTGTGGGGGATAAATTGGAGTAGGCTGAGACTAAAAGCAAGAAAAAGATTAGGAAGGCTGCTGCTACTGTCTATAAAAAACAGAAAAAGAATTCTGTGAAACAGGCTAGGGCTAGGGAGGAAGTGATAAGTCTGGGCTAGGAAAATATCTCAGTGGTGGCCTCTGAGCAAGACCTGGTGGCATCCCTTGCTTGATTAATATGCTTTCACTTCAATACCTACCAAACAGAGCAGTAACACACTGAAGTGGCAAGATATTGTAGGTTTATATTTTTGAAAACCTATTTTAATAGGGTGTTTAAACAATTCAATCTCCCTTTTAACCCACTGACCAAAGGTAAGGGAGGAAGATGGCTAATGGAACAAGAAGGACACTGACCTCTTTGGAAGTAGTACTGTGTGGGGGATTCCAAACTTTGTTGCAAGCAGTCCAGTCCACCTGCAAAATACCAAACACGAATCAGCAGCAGCACAATCCAGAAGAAATCATGAGACTCTGCCAATAGGCATGAGTCTGTTGAAGCAGCAATAAACAGCAGGAATAGCACCAGAAGTTCTTTGTTGTATTTCTCTCTATGAAGTTATGACAAGCAAAGAATAGAAAAAGAAAGAAAGAAAGAAAGAAAGAAAGAAAGAAAGAAAGAAAGAAAGAAAGAAAGATGAACCAATGCCAGCACATCATCCACTGTCTCCTAGGTTATGCTTCTACTTTTTTCCAAACATCACATGTCCTCTCATGTGTCTGCTGCAGCAAAACATTGCATGCTCTTTGGCCAGAGAACTTCTGGTAAAAATACCATGTGTCTGTTCTCAGTAATATATCCTATCATGTGTCTGATTTAGCAAAACATCCTCCCACAAAACAGCTTCCAGAAAAGTTTATCATGACACATCCATGTCTCCAATAAAACCAGAAATTCCCACTTGAAGAGGTAGAAGCAAAGCCAATGTGATTATAGTCTAAGGAATGTGATTATATAATGAATGAAAAACCCTGTGAGTCTCAGATGAGGGTTCCTGTCAGATATTTGGTAGATATTTTCCTTTGCATAGTACTGCACTTCTAGAAGAGATGTTCATTCATTGGGCAAATTCACACTTATTATAAGGTAATTTTGGAACTGTCTAGAAGGCCTTTTAGAGCCCATAGAATCAATTCCTTGAATGGCCTGTTTTCTTCAAGGACACCGAATCCTCTCTCCTGGAGGAGTCACTCAAGTGATGGACATAATAAGGAAAGACAGGAAGCTGAGGCAAATATCTCAGAACAATGGAAACAGAGAAGGAAGGATTATGTTCTAGATTCAGCTTCAATGAAGAGTTGGACTAATAGATCTGATGATAGGAATCACTGAGGCCAATGGAGTCATAACCAGTAAGCTCACACCACGGACAGATTCCTCAATACCAATCAAGGTGCTTTGAATTTCTTGACACAAGGCCTTGGATAATATATTTATTTGGTTTGCATTAACCCACTAACCTTGCTGGTGTATAATGACACAGTAATGACAACCTTAGTAACAATGATAATGTAAGAAGGAAAGAGATGGAATACAAAAAAGAAAGCCTGCTACAGGTCACACTCCCACCTCATTTCTCCTTGTCTCTGAGAAAGTCCTTGGCTGTATCTGACAAGTGAGGCAGGGATGTATTACGGCCTCAGTTGAGTCTGCTTTTTACATTAGCTAGTCTTTTTCCTTTTTGTCTCAAGTTTACTTGAATCAAGTTAATGATGTATTTAATGATAACAATTTGTGAATATGTAAGGACTATGAATACCATGAAATATACTAATATTCACCTTTAATTTTATACCTTCTCAAAGGGGTTGGAGGGTGAATTGTCTTGATGCAATTATAACCCCAAGTGTTGACAACAGAACCTACTCTTTTAATGCTACCAGCTTTCAGAGCTGATTACCATGAAATATGATTTAGAGCCCATAATCACATTTCCATTTTTGGAAACAAGAACACTTAGACTCAGGGAGATAATTTAATAAGTAGTTAATAATGAGAACTAAGACAATGACTAGAGTTTTATAGAAATAACTGTTATTTCCTAGCTAACACTTTCATTTAGAATTTGCTTCTCAGTTGTGTAAGTTTCATACCCTTCACAAAAGCGTTACATTTAGATGACAGTTAGTAGAGGTATGTGTTTCAGGGAACACCAGTCCACAAAACTCAAATGTACTACGTATTCTATCTGTCTGTCTGTCTATCATCTATCTATCTATCTATCTATCTATCTATCTATCTATCTATCTATCTATCTTCTATCTATCTATCATCTATCTATTTACTATCTATCCATCAATCTATCCCTGTATATCTTTTATCTATCCTTCTATGAATGAATCGGGAAAGTCATTTGCCATCTGTTAATCTATCACCTATTTATCCATTTATCCATTCATCTATCATATCTCTATCAATCATATATATCATCTATCTATCTATCTATCTATCTATCCATCTGTCATCACCTATTTATCATCTTTTTATGTGTTTGGCGGCATTCATTCAAAAGTCTAACCCTTATTTTTAAAATCAATAGCATAAAATTAAAGAGACCACTTACCTAAGAAGATGATTGGCTTGAGCTGGTCCTGCCTCTCATTCAATTATATAATATTCATTGTAAAATATATCTGCTTTTGCTTTTTTACTATGTATGACAAAATCATTCTTCCAGGCTTACCTTATATACTGAAGTAATATTTAAATATGTGTCAAGTTCAAGACTGTTTTGCTAATGTAAAAAGAAAGGTCTTTCAATGTATAAGCAGAAAATTCAGTCTCTATTGTGGCTGGTCTGGTCCATACATTTTTTCATTTATTATAGACACCTGTTCCCCATCTTCTTTTTTTCATTATACTTTGTGACTTTGTGACAGCATCAGAAATAAACAACTTAAAACCTGTCCCACTGACAGTAGAGAAAAAAGTTGTATTCCTTCCTGGAAGGTGTGCCTGACTCAGCACCATGCTATTATATATTTATATCCATTTATCAAGTTACTTGCTTTTTATATATCTAACGGAAATTTACTTTTACAAAGGACTGAAATAGCACTTCTAGCAAAAGAAATGGTCTTCTACAGGAAATTCATATGTTAACGTCTGATTTTAAAATGGGTTAATAGGCATACCTTGTTGTGAAAAAATCACAAGTCTTTGTGAAGTGCTCTATCCAGAGAATTTTCAGGATAAACAGAATTGCCTGTACAATATTAACCATGGGAAAACATAAAACCTTCTGCCTCTGTTTAAAAAGAAGCCTTTCCTGGTTTAGATAGATAGATAGATAGATAGATAGATAGATAGATAGATAGATGATAGGTAAATTAGTACATGTAGGCTTTCTGAATTTTTAGGTTTCCCTGGAAAATATACTTCTACAAAAGAACCTTCACAGGCTTTCGTGGTTTTAGATGCTGTAACCTATGCTCGGAAGTTCCAACCCTTTCTCCAGGACAGAAGGATGAGTGTTATAAGATATAATAAATATTGGTAAGCATTATTAAGTGCTATTATTATAAGTATTACAGTTGAGCTTTACTTAAGAATTTTTTTGTTAATAACCCCTTTTAATTATGACTGTAAATGATTGATTAAACCAGTAAAGAGCAAGGATTTAGCAGAATATACTCTTATGTCTATTTGCCACGAGCACAGATCTGTCACCGTTTATGTCCTTTGGCAGATACTGCTCCACTACTATCATAGAAGTCCTTGTGCTATGGACACTTTAATTATGTTGTAATTAACAACAGCTGTAAAGAATCAATGCAACTACTGCTAAAGACATGTTCTGGTCATAAATACTCCAGACATTGGCAGCCTAGAAAGGCTGTGGGACAGTGGACTGTGCCAGAGGACTTGGTAAGGTTGATTTGGTTATAAACCCTCGACCTCATACCAGATGACCATAGGAACATCACCTGCTTCCAAGCAGGCTCCTATCACATAATTACACTCCCTACATAGGAATGTGACCTATGGCCATATAGGCCAGAACAGAGTTCTCCATGCTATGAAGGTATCTAGATGGGCTCTGAGGGTTTAGCCAATAAGCCTCCTTTCTCAGAAATTCATTTCTACAAAAGGTATTTAATCTCTGATCCACACTGGAAAGGTGGTATATACCCGTTTTCCATTATAAAAAATTCAATAAATATCAATGAATAGTATAGATGAGCATGAATTGTCTCTTTCATCAAGAACCACTGTGGGGAGCATGGAAGAAGCTTTTGTCTACTGAGCTGTTCTAAGTCTCCTGGAGAAGGCTTCTCAGTGGTTCCAGACTCACTACCACTGAGCTAAGCCAGAGTTCCCCATTACCTGGCTCCAGGCTCCTTGTCTTTAACCTGTGGGTCTCCTCCTTTCCCAAATTCATGTGGTTTCCAGTGGAGACTAGAAGCACAGGAGGTTGGGAACTTCAGCTTCTTCCTCAGCCTGTGCCATTTCTTACTTGGGCTGAGGCCATCACTCAAGGCTGCATTCACCTACACTGTAAGTGGTGCATCAGTGCTTCCCATGAGCCCATCACCCAGCAGCAGGCATAGAGTAAATGCAGTCTATTACCTCCCCCTTTTCTGCCTGGTAACTGTTCCTAAACGCCAGCTGAACACGGAACTACAAAAGGCAACATTCTAAGGAAGACCAGCCTGGATGAACACTAGTGGTCCCTATACTTATGTACACTCAAACAAAAGAGGGAACACATATCCTGATGTCTCAGCAGAAGCCCTGAGTTTAATATTGACCATGACCTTTCATTTGTATGAATATTGTGTAACTACTGGTCCACATGGTCATAATCTTTCATTAAAGTGTATGTTGTGTAATTACTGGTGCACAAACCATTCCCACAACTACTTTATAGCTATATAAGATGATTTACTCACTTTTCAAATCTGTCAGACCCCTCTCTCCTTGTTTGATCCTGGTATCTCAGAGTTAGACTCAATGAATGTTTTCTTCTTTCATTGAAAGTGAGCTTTTCATGCTTATTTCTGAACTTATATGTTAGAAAAATAGATTGAGCTGGAGACATAGAGAGAAGCCAATGGAAACTTCGATAGTTAAAAGACAGTTACAAAAGCCACAGCAGCTTGCAGCCTGGAAACTTCAAGAATACTTGCGGTTGGAGCAGCAGCAACGGCAAGTGTTCCAGAGAGTAGCTGGACACAATACCAATGAGAATCAGTATTATCAAATACAGTGATGGGTGGTGGAGATATAGGCAAATGGAGATATAGAAACTGTGCACCCTGGTCACAGGAAGAGTTCTAGGTAGTCGCTAAACCATACTTGCCAAGGCTTTGATGCTCTAGGCATAAGAACTATAAGCCTCACAATTGATAAAAATTCAAAGGGAGCTGGATAGAGTGCTATGTGACTTTCGTCTTAGCACTTGAGATTCAGAGGTAGGTAGATCTCTGTGACTTCAAGTCCACCCTGCTCTACCTAATGAGTTCTAATACAGCCAAACTATAGAGACCCTATCTTAAAAACAAGCATACCAAAGTAGAGCCTTAAATCCCAGCCTTAAGAGCTACATAACACTAGACCTTGTCAAGGACCAATGGTTCTAGCTACACCAAGAGATGTAACTCCAGCCACTCTCAAAACTCAATGCCTAACCAGAAGCTGTAACACTGTCAGCTGTTACCTACTACCAGCATTTCTTGATTCTAAAAGGTGAACATTACAATAACTATGGAGTGCTGGGGCCGCTGGAGGTTAAATCCTAGAGCAGTAAACCTTCAACCCAGTTATCTGAAGCCATAGTCTCTGGTCTCTACAGACTAGACTAACATGTCCTTAGCTCTTATGGCTTTGAAAAAGCAAAATTAAATCAGTCAACACAGACCCAGGTTTTTGGATACTGAAGGACCCTGAACTGCTCATACTAAGGACTTCTCTTTGCTGCTTAAAACATTCTTGTAAATAAAAAGAGAGCCCAGCAAGTTGAACCGTGACAAAAGGAGCATTTAATTGAAGTGGATTTACTAAATTATTACACTATAAAAGGCCATGTTAGTGACTGTGATTCTAAACTTCTAAGCCGAGAATCCAAAATAACTATTTTTTGACTTGTAGAGACATCACTAACTACTATCTGGTTCGAAACTTTGAGCCCTAATTTGTATGATGTTCTAGAAACACATGTACACTTGCAAGAGTTTGAAAATCATGGTTTTAGAAAACAGAGTCATCAAGAAAATTCACTAGGGTTCTTCTAACAAAATTTCAGAGGCTAAGTGGCTTCAACAAAATAGACGTGTTGTTCCAGAATGAGACATCACAGCTCTTATCATTGTTAGGCTACATAAAGAAGAGTGGCTACCTCTCCTTAGTTTAAAGTAGTTAACTAGCACTCTCTGGTGCTCCCTGGTTTATCAGGCTCCATGTTCCTATGATGCTCTCTGTCTGTCTAAGCTGAGCTTTCTTTTGATCAAGACCCCATCAGACTGCTTTTAGTTCTGATATAAGTGCACCATGGCTCTTTAATAGAGTACACTGACTCTATTTTCCATTGCAGTCTTATTCAGAAGTATTGCGAATCGGGAGTGAAAACAATAAATTGGTAGATGGGTTTCTACAACCCTTTACACTCACTCCCACCTGCTGAAATACCCAGTACAGGCTAAGTGCAGTAAAGCTGGGTTGAGAAACAAGGAAATAACATATGTAGTCTCTCTAAGAGCTTGTTACATACAAAGAAATAAACAGAGCTTTCTCTTTACAGTAAGAAAGGTCAGGATGCAATCCCAGTAGGCTGTTGCTTCCATAAATGTATGAGTAACACCCTAAAACTTAGTCAAGCTATGTTAACTACCTCTCAGCTTTTATATCAATGCAAGCAGGTGTACTTGACTGACAGCCACTGTGCAAATTGACCAAGCAGGAATCTGACCATAGGCCTGATCTCATTTCCACAGAATATTCATGAAGGTTGTGGGAGTCAGAGATCTGCCTGCCATTACCCCCCAATCCCCATCCTGCACTGGACCACTTGTGTATCTTGAATCATTGATTAGCAGATGTGTTCACTTCAACTTGCAAAGCAAGTGTATCTTAGGCAAGGTGGAAAACTCTGCAGAGATGTGGCATGGTGTCTCCAACAAAGCTGCATCTGATAGTGACAATGGTCAGGTGCTGGCTTCTTGGCCATGAGAATTAACACACTTCAGCTGGAGTGGCACTTGAGTTACCTGTTAAAAGGACAGGCCCCACATTGCCCATCAGTTCTGTCTCTCACAGAGGCACTCACTTCCCAGCAGAGTAACTGTCATCTTTAGAACAGATTCTCACCTTCTTCCTTGTAGACAATAACATACTGGGATTAATTTTAGACTTCACCAACTTGGGTTGATTTTGAATACCAGAAATTTCTATTTAAGTCTATTGAAATATACATTCTGCAGGTCTTATGTGTGAGTATGTTTGTGGAAGAAGAACCCATAAACTATCTATAATAACTCTTAATGTGAGTTATTTCATAACCTTGTCAATGGATGGATAATTTTGTGCCAAAAAATAAAATAGAATCTTAAACCAAAAGATCCTATAGATGAATCCAAAGCTTATTTGCCTTTCAGCAGTGTCTTATCTTTGTGACTTTTCAATTGTGAATATTTTCCACCCTTTTTTTCCAAACTTCAAGTTTAAAGCTTTGCTTTCAACTATCATGAATGGCATTGTCTGCTTAGGCTGTCTTCTCATTTTCATTACAGTTTATTAGAGTAGCTTAAGCTCTCAGAAATTAGAAAACCCAGTGCTGTGGGTTGAATGGGCTATGTGTTTCCCTACCATACCTGTATTGATATTGTGACTACCCCAGTGAAGCCCTGATGATATAAAGAAGAATCTTTGTATGATGGAATCTGGTGGCAACTGGCTAAATCACTATAGGTACTAACTCTAAAATAATGCAGGTAATTCTGGGAAAATGAGTTACTTTTTAATTTTAATTTTTATTTTTTAATATGGGCAGGGGAAGAGATTTGAGTGAGTAGAGACAGAGATATGTTGAGACAGAGAGAGAGAGAGAGAGAGAGAGAGAGAGAGAGAGAGAATATAAGGGAAGAGGAGTAGAGAAGTAGAGGCTGGCCATGAATACATGGAGAGAGAAGAGGGAGGGGAATGGGTAGAGAAGAGACACAGAGATAAGAGAGTCAGAGAGAAAGAGAGGAAGAGAATAAGAGATTGAGTTACTTTATAACAAGAGTAATCTTTATGAAAGTATAATCTAGCCACCTCAATAGTTCTAAACTTATCTCTTCCCCATTTTGTCTTACATGACACAACTGAGAAAACTCTCACCAGGGTCAGTTGATAGAAATGTTGCACATTCTAACCATCAAACATGAGTTAAATCTCTTTTTTTTAATAAAGTACTGCTCCCCCCAGTAACATTATAGCAACATGAAATGTATTAACATATTAATTTTCATAGAGATGACTTAACTCACTGAAGGGGATTTATCAGACATTGAGCTGTGGTCCTTAGTTTCAAAGCTGTACTCATTCTGTTATCCAGTTTCCTGGGAACTTCTCAGGAAAACTTAGATTCCATTAGGTTCTTTTTGAAAGACTCTACAAAGACTTTCCCAAATGACCCTGTTAAGTCACAACACACAGTTGAATGAATCTATCAGATGAAAAATCTTTAGGGATGTCATGGAGGTTAAAGCAGATTCCAAGCATCACTGGATCAAATCAAAATTTCTCAGGGCGGGACTTTTGGATGCAGATTTTCTGCTCACAACTTACAGGAACATGACAATTGGCCACTAAAGCAATAAACTGACAGCAGAAGCATCATTATACTCTGAATCAAATGATTGTATTACTCTCCAGCAAGAGCTTAGGTGGGTCCTTTTTATTTTTAAACTAGTAGGAAATTTACTTACTATTCCCAAGGAAGCAATAAATGAATTCCAGCCACCTTCCTTGAGCAGAAGTTCCTTTGTCTGACTTGTCTACTTTTCCTTTTCTCCTTGTGCCTGTTTCCCTTTTTTGATAATATATTTTCTTTCCTCACATAACATATCCTGAAAGCAGTTTCATCCCTCTACCCCTCATTTTCTCTCCAGTCTGGATCCCCTTGCTTTCTCTCTCTCATTGTAAAACATACGACAGGCTTCTAAGTGATAATAATAAATCAAAATAAAGTATCATAAAATAAAATTAAAACTAACACATTGGAATTGGTAAAACAAACAGAAAAAAAGAGCACCCCAAAAGGCACAAGAATCAGAGACCCTCTTGTTTGCAAACTCTCGGGAATTTGTTACAAACTGTAAACTGGAAGTCAGAATACATCTGGCCCAGAATTGTGCAACTCCTGTGCTTCCACTTCCCCCTCTGTGAGTTCATATGAGTTTTGATCATGTTACTTCACAAGACCTTGTTTTCTGGGTATCCTCTGGCTCTGACTCTCTTCCTGCCTTCCCTTTTTCAAGGTTTCTTGAGCTCTGAAGGGAGGGATTTGATGTCTGTCTGTACATTTCTGTGTTTGTTCACATCTGGTATCGGAGGAAGCCCTCGGTGGTGATTGTCACAGCTA